CGGCCTCAGCCACCCAGTGTGCTGGGATTACAGGCGTGAGGCACTGCGCCCGGCCTGTTCTCTTTTTTTTTAACATTCAGACCTCCATCCTCTCCATCCTCCATCCCCTCAGGCACCTCACCCCAGAGGTGCCTCTGTCTCCAGGCTGGTGTGGGGCTGGGCTGCTGGTGTCTGTGGTGCATGAGACACACTCCCCCGCAGACACTCCCTTCCCCCCACAGAGCTAGTGAGGTTCCCTGGGCGGTGTGGATGCCTCTGGGCCTCTGACTCACACGTGCCTTGCCTTCCTGTTTCTGTCCCATCTTTGACACCCAGCACGGGCAAGGTCAGGTGGAGAGGAGCGCCTCTCACCCAGGCCAGGCATTTGTAAACCATGACGTGGCACTCCATGGGACCCTATGGGAGCTGGTGCAGAGGCAGTGGGGAGGAGGGCGGAGAGCAGGCCTCTAAGGCACTGGCCTTCCCCCCGCAGGTACATCCCCTTCTTCCTCATCCTCTTCATGTACTTCAGCGGCTGCTTTACTGCTTCTAAAGCCGAGAGCTTGATGCCAGGGCCTGCCCTGCTCCTGGTGGCACCCAGTGGCCTGTACTACTGGTGAGTGGATGTCGGCAGCAGGGGGGCAGAGGCAGAGGCACTGAGTGAGCCACCGCAGCAGAATTCTGCACTTGCAGAATCGTGGGGCCCCGGCAGGGGGCGGGGAGACTGGCCCTCTCTGGGTCCCTGCTTCCTCTAGTGTCTAGTGGGGACCGTGACAGTGCCCTGTGGTAGCCTCTGCTTCCAGGAAGCCCAGGCCTAGGGGTGGCAGGGAGGTGGGAGGAGAGGGTGAGGTGCGCAGTCTCTGCATCCTCAAGCCCCGCTCTCTCTGCGCCCCGTGTCAGGAACCCCAGTGCTGCTCTGAAGCTGGGACAGTCCCCCACCAACACCAAACCCTGTGATGGGCCACGGTTTCTGCCTCAGTGAAATGGGGATGATGATACCTGCCTGTCTCCCTCTCAGACGATGAAGATGCTGAGGGGAGACAGGGACTTTGTCAAATGTAAAGCACTGTGGAGAGGCCAAAGACAGATGGGGGTTCATGGCATAGGGGCTCCTGGCCTGGGGCTCTCTCTTCTTCCCATCGCAGAGGACTCAGGCCTCAGCCAGTCTCCTGTCCCTCCTCTGTCACTTCTGCCCTGGAGACAGGTCACCCTGGGGTTGTGGATATCATGGGAAGGACCGGGTTGGGGCAGGACTGGGCCCTTCTCTGATGGGAGGCCTCCCTCAAAATGAACCAGGCCTCCTTTCCTGGCCCATCTCTAGCCCCTCTCTCTCTGGCCTGCCCCTGTGTGGCTGAGACACCCACCGGGGCTCATCTGTATGCTCCCTGGGGATTAAAAAGAATGCGAGACCGGGCACGGTGGCACATGCCGGTAATCCCAGCACTTTGGGAGGCTGAGGCAGGCGGATCACCTGAGGCCGGAAGTTCGAGACCAGCCTGACCAACATGGAGAAACCCCATCTCTACTAAAAATACAAAATTAGCCGGGTGTGGTGGTGCATGTGTGTCATCCCAGCTACTTGGGAGGCAGAGGTTGCAGGAGCCAAGATCACGCCATTGCACTCCAGCGTCTCATTAAAAAAGAATGGGTGTCAGCTACAGTGAGAAGGAAAGACGTTAGAGAGCTCCTGCCCGTGTTACCCATGGCATACTGGCGTGGGGGTGGCTGCAGTGGGAGTGGCAATTGTTCGTTGCTTTCTCCCCTAGTCAGTTTTTGTCATGTGGAAATACAAACTTAATGTGACCAGGGAAGCCAGAAATACACATTTGCAGGTTATTTAAATATTGGCAACAAACTCAACATGTAAAAAACAGTAACTGTGGCAGCTAAATTAATACGCCGCCCCTGGACTGCGGCTGAGAGCAGTGCAGTTCACCAAGTGCTGGCACCAGAGGACTCTTCTGCCAGGGAGGGATGCCAGGCAGGACAGGGCTGCCGCGGCCACTGCCTCACCCACCCCTGCCCTCTCCAGGTACCTGGTCACCGAGGGCCAGATCTTCATCCTCTTCATCTTCACCTTCTTCGCCATGCTGGCCCTCGTCCTGCACCAGCAGCGCAAACGCCTCTTCCTGGACAGCAACGGCCTCTTCCTCCTCTCCTCCTTCGCACTCACCCTCTTGCTTGTGGCGCTGTGGGTTGCCTGGCTGTGGAATGACCCTGTGCTCAGGAAGAAGTACCCGGGTGTCATCTACGTCCCTGAGCCTTGGGCTTTCTACACCCTTCACGTCAGCAGTCGGCACTGAGTCTCTGCTGGGTGGGAGGTGGGCCCTGGAGGGCGTCCGAATACATGAGTGGGAGGGGTGTGGATGTGGATGTGCAACCAGAGACCGAGAGCATGGGCGGGTGTGCCTCATGTGCGTGGATTCGTGTGTGTGTGTGTGTGTGTCTTGTATGTGTGTGCAGAGTGCATCATTTTCAGACTCGACTATTGCAGTCAAGTTTCGAAAATCCGGGCCCTTGCCTCCTCTGCACCTGACCACACTCTCAGGACTCAGGGCTGCTCTGCTCTTCCTGGTCATCTTCTGGTAGCTATGCAGGGGAGGTCTGGGTGGGGCAGAGGCCAGGAGGGGACCTAGTGTGTCATCCACCCACCACCTGGCTCATCCCTCAGGCCCACCCCGGCCCTACGTGACAGGTGACGTCAGCCTCCTGTGGCTGCTGAGCAAAGCGTTTGCCCTCTCTGGGCCTCATTTGCACTGGAAGAGCCTGTGGTCCCAAAGCAGGTCAGTAGGTTGGGGTTGCTGACACCCCTTGGGGGCAACTCTGGGACAGGTGAGTGGCTCTGTCCTGTCACTGCCCTCTCCCTGCATGGCGGCTGTGTGCACACCTGTGAGGTATGGAGCCAGCCCAGCCCCCAGAAGCCGCAGGCGCCGCCCACTCCCCTGGCGCTCCGGCTCTCCAGCTGACCCTCCCCTACCCGAAGCTCTGTCCGCCTGCTCCCACTCCAGAAGAACTGTGGCACGAGCTTCGGGCAGCCTGGCTGCAGGCTTTGAGCTGCCATGGAGGGCAGGGCTGTCCTCACGAGCACTGTTCCCGGGGCCCTGTTGAAGGGGTTGGACCACCTTGAGACTCTGGTCAACCTTGCCTCCTCCAGAATCTCATGCCTCCTGCCACGGCCCTGCTCCCAGAGAAGGGAGGCCTCATTCTCAGCATGGTGTCCTCCCTGCCCCCCGCCCCGCCTTCTCCCAGGCATGGGGACAGGTGCCCTCACAGCAGAATGACCCATCGCCTCATCTGGCCAGCGCGGGCCCGTGTGTGCTCGTGTCTCTGGAGGGCCTGCCTTGCCTTTCCCGGGCCCTGTCTCCTCTCCTGTGCTCTCAGGGAGCCCCATGCCCCGAACTCTCCTTCCCTGTTGGGGTCCCCCCAGTCCCTGGGTCAGCTGTGTCTACTGGCCCCCTTGGGTGGTGAGGGGTGTGAATAAAGGCTGATGTGTAGCCAAGCCTGGCTGGCGGCTGATCCTGGCTTTGGCTGTGAACTGGGCAGGCAGGAGGGGGTTCCATGGAGTCAGGAGAGACCAGCTGCTCCGGGCCCAGGCCAGAGCCAGAGGCTCCCCCTAGCAGCAGCCCTGGGCAGACCCCTCAGCCCTGATCTCGCCAAGAGCAGGTGCTCCCACTGCCACTCATGCCACTCAGTGGGAAGAGCTCAAGGCGGGCCTCTTCTTGGTCAGTCCCAGCTCTTCAGAGAAGACTGACTGGGGTGGGCCGTGGACAGGAGACCGGGTCTGCAGGGCTGTCCCACGGGGCCTCCCCGCTGTGCCGCCAGCGCTGGTCCAGAGGCGGAAGCAGAGGGTGCCTGCCCTTGGGGGAAGGGGGAAGGTTGGCACTTAGCCTCGGGGAAGTCATTCGACCCCTTGGGGCCTCCGCTCTCAATATTCAAAGGTCTCAGCCTCACCACACAGCCACCAGTGACTCACCAGGCTCATGCCACGAGACAACACGGAGGAAAAGCCGTGCTGGGCAGGAGACGACGCAAATCCCGCGTCCGGGTCCCCGGCCTGACCAGCACACCCGCTCGCTCCATCCCCTGCCTCCGGGATGCTGCCCTCTACGGGGCTGGGGGAACATTTCACAGGCAGGTGGGCCTGCGCGTGTGAGGCCTCAAGCTTATGCAATCGGGGGACCCTTGATAAGAAAATAGTCGAAACAAAACGGTCAGTAGAAACCAGGCATGAAAGTAAACACTTAGGAAAAGAAATCACAGCAGATTATCAGAGCCTTGGAGACTCGTGCCCCTCTTGGCCAAGATCTCTTTGGGAAGTTTCCTTGAAGTGTTTTCCTAGAAATACTCCTCAACTGCAACCTGGCCTCACTCGACCTAGAAAACTAGGCCAGTGGTTCTTTTCTTTTTTTCTTTTTTTTTTTTTTTTTTTTGAGCTAGAGTTTCGCTCTGTCGCCCAGGCTGGAGTGCAGCGGTGTGATCTCGGCTCAGTGCAACCTCCGCCACCTTGGTTCAAGTGATTCTCCTGCCTCAGCCTCCCAAGTAGCTGGGATTACAGGTGGGCACCACCACACCTGGCTGATTTTTTGTATTTTTAGTAGAGACGGGGTTTCACTGCTGGCCAGGCTGGTGTTGAACTCCTGACCTTGTGATCTACCCACAGCCTCCCAAAATGCTGGGATTACAGGCGTGAGCCGCTGTGTCCGGCCTGCCAGTGGTTCTTTAAGTGTGGCCTTGATGACTGGCTCCAGAATGGCAAAGGAAGAGGCAAATTCTACTCCACCCTGTCCCCCAGAATCAGAAACTCCAGGACAGGGCCCCGCCAGTGATTCTGATGCAGCCTCAAGTTTGGGAACCACCATTCTAGGCGCTGTCTGCTCAAAAGTGTGGTCCCCAGGCCTGCAGCCTCAGCTTCCCCAGGAGCCTGTGAGGAAGGCAGCATCCCGCCCCATGTAGACTTCCCAAATCTGCATTAATGGGTTTTGTCAGCACCGCTCCAGGACTGCCCTCAGTGCCTCGCACTCCCGGCACAGGTGTGGGCCTCGCGTCGGTTTGCTGGGGCAGCCATCATTAAAGTGCCACACACGGTGGCTTAAAGCAGTGGCTTCCCTCTTCTCACCCCTGTCCTGGGGTAGGTGGGTGGGCGTGACTCAAACTCTGACAGGGAGGAGTTGAGTCCCCAGCTAAAATTCTCTGGGTGTAGAAACAGGTGTGAAGAGGTGACTCGGGGGACATGATTTGGGGAAAAAAGCACACTTTTTAAAAAAATTTCTACTGTTTTAATTTTTTTCGCTTTGTTGCCCAGGCTGGAGTGCAGTGGCATGATCTCAGCTCACTGCAACCTCTGCCTCCCGGGTTCAAGCGATTCTCCTGCCTCAGCCTCCCGAGCAGCTGGGATTACAGGTGTTTGCCACCATGCCCAGCGGATTTTATTTGTATTTTTAGTAGAGGTGGGGTTTCACCATGCTGGCCACGCTGGTCTTGAATGCCTGACCTCGTGATCCATCTGCCTCAGCCTCCCAAAGTCCTGGGATTACAGGCGTGAGCCACCACGCCAGGCCGAAAAGCACACTTTCCACATGGAGGCGGTCAGGAAAGGAGCAGGGAAGCGAGAATGGAGCCCAGGCATCCCAGTTTGTCCATGTGCCTGTGTGAAAGTGGCACGACACCCCTCTTCCTCTGGGCAGTGCCTGGGGGCCTATTGTAGGGCACACCCGTGCGGCCACACCTGCTACTTGTGAGCCGGACCCTGAGTGTAGAGCCCTATTGACTTCAGCTGTGGACAAGGGCCTCATGCTCCAAACAGAGAAATGGGATCTCAAGGGGGAGAACCCAGGGGAGCCTCGAAACCTGCCCGCATTTCCTATGTGGGGGAGGGGAGTGGCATGAACCCCAAAAGGCTTGGGAGCCTCAGCAGCTTCTGTGGAAGGGGTAGGGGCTAAGGATGGGGAGAGGAAGGAAAGGAAAAAAGGGGCAGCCTTCCTGGCCAGGGTAACCGGCACTAAGAGGCCTCACCCCAAGCCCCTGAGAAGCCTGCGGTGGGGCCGGAGACTCAGCCTAGGCCCCTACCCCACCCTTAAATTCCCTGCAACTGACACAGGCTGGGAACCGGCTGTGCGCCGGCCACTTGATTCTGCCAACAGCTCTGTAATTCAGCGGGTGAGGAAACTGAGGCACAAACAGAATGACTGGCCAGTCACTCAGCAAGTCAGCAGAGGGGAGGACTGAATGCCAGCCTGAGAGCACGGAAGCCTGTGTTCCCTGCAATACCGACCCCCCCGCCTGCGGGCCCCGCCGCCCATCTCTGAGTTGGAAGGGTTCCCTTCCTCCTCCAAGATGGTGGGTGAGGAGCCTTCCATACGACAAGGCTGTAAAGTGCCCTACTCCAGCAGCAGCTTGATGGCGTCCCTGCCGAGTCCCAGGAGAGAGAGAGAGAGAGAGGGCCAAGGGCCCCCTCTCTGAGTTTCCCTGACCCCTTCCTGGAGTCCAGGGCTCCCGGGAAGAAACACTGGCATTTGTCCCTTTGCTTTGGCTTCTGGGGGAAGAGACCCCGAGCCCAGGGAGTGCCTTCTGCAGCCCCATTTCCTCAAAAATCCAACCCGACCAGGTGGCGGGGCATTGGCTGTGCTCAGGAAGCTGGAATCTGACCCTGATGGCGTGGGGCCCAGTCTCCATGGCAGCCGAGCATTTATTACCCGGGCCTCCACCCAGCTTGGCAGACTTTAGACTTGAGGCTGGAGGAAAGGGAACTGAGAACTCGGTTCTGGGAGCAGCAAGCCCACGGGTGGCAGCCGGGGCCCCAGGATGGTGAGTGAGGGTCTGTGTCGGCCTGGCCAGGGCTGGGGGCCTGAGCCTCAGATGGAGCCCTCCCCTGATGACTGTTTTCCTTCCTCTGCTGCAGGCCAAGTTTCTTTCCCAAGACCAAATTAACGGTAGGTTGGGTTTGTTCTTTAATTAGCAACTCAGCAAAATATGGGTCTCATTAGGCAATTTGTTCTGCCTGTGTTTTCATGGTGGGAGGGAAGGTGGCTGGGGGAGAGCTGGGCCCACCCACGGGGTCGAGAGCTGCAGGGAGGCTGCCGTCGGTGGGGTGGGGGTCAGGGGTAAGCCTTCAAAATAGAAATATGGCTTTATACTTGCCAGAGTGATTTACAAGCCAGGGTGTCAACACAGAGCTCACTAGGTGTCCCTCCAGAACCTGACCAGTTGGATTTGGAGACTGAGGGAACTGGGGATGGAGAGAGACTGTTAAAGGTATGGCTAAGGCTCACACCTGTAATCCCAGCACTTTGGGAGGCAGAGGCAGGCGGATCACAAAGTCAGGAGTTCAAGGCCAGCCTGACCAACATGGCGAAACCCCGTCTCTACTAAAAATACAAAAATTAGTCAGGCATGGTGGCATGTGCCTGTAATCCCAGCTACTCGGGAGGCTGAGGCAGGAAGGAGAATCGCTTGAATCTGGGAGGCGGAGGTTGCAGTGAGTGGAGATGATGCCACTGTACTCCTGCCTGGGTGACACAGCAAGACTCCATCTCAAAAAAAAAAAAAAACTCTGGCTGATAGGGAAGGAGGAGGGGCTTTGTACTTGAGACAGAGCACAGAGGCCAGGTCTGCACTCTCTAGCAGGACGCATCTCTCTGCCCTCAGTCTCCTTATCTGTAAAATGGGGGGTCCACTGAGCCCCTCTGCCCTGGCACCAAGGCTGGTTTGGGCATGAACACCTTATTCCCTGGGTCCCCTACTCTGCCAGCCCCTGACCAGGCTTCAGTTTCACACCGTGCAGAGTTCTGTTTCCACAAGGTCAAGAGCAAAGAGTTGGGTTACAAAGAACTCTGGGGCCCAGACCTGGACAGGGGAGCCTCACGGCTGCAGCCCCCTGCACCTGCTCCTTGAGGATGTGACCCTGAACCTGTCCCAAGAGTGGACATCAGTGGGCTGAAAGGCCCCCTAGGAATCCCCATTCCTCCAGGTCCCTGGTGAAACGTTGCCTTCTCAATGAGTCCTTCGCTGGGACTGCAGATACAATTAGAGGCACCCTGTGATCCAGGGCAGGGGCCTGAGAGCCCAGCCAAGTGGGGTTAGGGTTTCCTGGGCCAGAGTTCCAGAGTTCTGAGTATTCCGAGCTTGGTCTAGAAGGGCAGGAATTGTGAGCTCCAAGTAGCACCTCCACGTAGACCCTTGGAACTCTTTATCCCAAGAGGAGGGCCAGGGCAGGAGCAGGGGCTTTTAAAACACAGGGCCTGGGGCAGCACCCTCTTGCCCAGATGTAAAGGTGATACTGAACAGCGGACTGAGGGCTGGAGTCCAGCTCTCAGCCTCAGCATCCTCCCACCCATGCCTGGTTTTGAGGCTCACTGACCCTCCCTCCTGGGACAGCCAAAGCTCCTAGACAGGAAGAAGGTAATTTCTCTTTGCATCCCAGTATCTGACACCAAGAAAGTGGCCGCCAATGTTAAATGAATGTGTGGAAGATTGGACGGGTTACCTAGTGAAGTGGGAAGACAGGGGCTCTGGAGGCAGCAGCCCTGAGGCCTGATCACCCGTGAGCCTGTTTTCTCACCTGTGAAGCAGGGATCCACCACGTCACCAGGCTGCTGTGAGCTAGGAACAGAGGGGGATAATGTCAGTTGCGTGCTGGACACTGGGCTGGGCACAGCCGGGTGTCACCCACATGTCGGGTCGGGCTGCCTCACTGCAGCTAGCAAGAGCCGTATTTTTAGAAACCTTGCATGCAGGATGTTAAAGCCAGCCATTACTAAATAATGTAGGATCAAACAATGTTTCAATCCCTACATCTATCTATACAAAAAGAGAAAAAGCCCTATTGTGATCAGCGGAGCTGGAGATTTGAAAGAAGTTTCAATTTAATGAATGTACTTGGTAGAAGGGTGAGAAATAGTTTAACAGTGGATCACATTAGCTTTAATGACCATTCATTCATTGGAAAAAGAATTGCACTCATTGGCACGCAGCTTCATCTGTCAAATCATGGTTGAATCAAAACCATAGCTTGGCAGTGGATCTAAGAGTTGGCAAAACTTGGGCCGGGTGTGGTGGCTCACATCTGTAATCCCAGAACTTTGCGAGGCCAAGGCAGGTGGATCACCTGAGGTCAGGGGTTTGAAACCAACCTGGCCAACACAGTGAAACACTGTTTCTACTAAAAATACAAAACTGGCCGGGCACATTGGCTCACGCCTGTAATCCTAGCACTTTGGGAGGCCAAGGCGGTTGGATCACCCGAGGTCAGGAGTTCAAGACCAGCCTGGCCAACATGGTGAAACCCTGTCTCTACTAAAAATACAAAAATTAGCTGGGCGTGGTGGTAGTGTAATCCCAGCTACTCAGGAGGCTGAGGCAGGAGAATCACTTGTACCTGGGAGAAGGAGGTTGCAGTGAGCTGAGATTGCACCACCGTAGTCTGGGTGACAAAAGCATGACTGTCTCAACAACAACAACAACAAATTAGCCCGGTATAGTGGCGCGTACCTGTAATATCAGCTACTTGGGAGGCTGAGGCAGGAAAATCACTTGAACCTGGGAGGTGGAGGTTGCAGTGAGCCGAAATCGTGCCATCACATTAGCCTGGACAACAAGAGTGAAACTCTGTCTCAAAAAAAAAAAAAGAGGTGACAAAACTCCTTTGTGGTAATTAAGTGGCTAGATGGAATTTATTTATTTGAGATGGAGTCTTGCTCTGTGCATGGCATGATCCCTACTGATTGCAACCTTCACCTCCCAGACTCAGGGGATTCTCCCACTTGTCTCCTGAGTAGCTGGGACTACAGGCATGCGCCACCACACAAAATATTTTAAAATATTTTGCAGGCATGAGGTGTGGCTCTATTGTCCGGTTTGCTTTCGTACTCCTGGGCCCAAGTGATACTCCTGCCTCGACCTCCCAAAGTGCTGGGATTACAGGCATGAGCCACTGTGCCCAGCCCTGGATGGAATTTATAATAAAGAATAGTGGGCCGGGCGCGGTGGCTCACGCCTGTAATCCCAGCACTTTGGGAGGCCGAGGCGGGTGGATCACGAGGTCAAGAGATCGAGACCATCCTGGTCAACACGGTGAAACCCCGTCTCTACTAAAACTACAAAAAATTAGCTGGGCATGGTGGCGCGTGCCTGTAATCCCAGCTACTCAGGAGGCTGAGGCAGGAGAATTGCCTGAACCCAGGAGGCGGGGGTTGCGGTGAGCTGAGATCGCGCCATTGCACTCCAGCCTGGGTAACAAGAGCGAAACTCCGTCTCAAAAAAAAAAAAAAAAAAAGAATAGTGCATATTTCCTTATTATTTGTAAATTGTGTGCTACACGCTTTGTACAGTGCAGAGCACACAAGTACATACATGATTAGAGCAAGTTGTTAAACTATCTAGCACAGCTGGTGTTATCCTAGGCAATGGAGTCTCACTCAGTCTCCAGGCTGGAGTGCAGTGGCACGACCTCGGCTCACTGCAGTCTCTGCCTCCCGGGTTCAAGCAATTCTTCTGCCTCAGCCTCCCGAGTAGCTGGGACTACAGGCACGAGCCATCATCACACCTTGCTAATTTTTTGTATTTTTAGTAGAGACAGGGTTTCACCATGTTGGCCAGGATGGTCTCCATCTCTTGACCTCGTGATCCGCCCGCCTCGGCCTCCCAGAATGCTGGGATTACAGGCTTGACCCCGCTGGGCTGGCATTTGCATTTTCAAAGAGAAGACTTAAAGGGGATTTTTAATCCAATTCATTTAACCCAATTAATCCTTTCATTCAACAAATGTTTGTGTCCTTTCTTTGTGCCAGCCCTGTTCTGGGCACTAGAGATACAACAGTGAACACAAAGACAAAATCCCTTCCTCACAGGAGGGGGTCACCGTCAAGGGAGGGGAGGACGCAAAGGAAAACAGTGAAACAGATTCGCTAGTGTGTTAAAGGGTAACCTGGCAGGAGAAAAAGGAAGGAGAGAGGGAGGTGGGGGGAGAGTGGAGAGCGGGTGGAGGAAGGAGCCAGCAGGAAGCCCAGCTGGGTCTCCAGCACCATGTTGTCTTGTTCTAGTGTAGTAATTCCTGGTTCAGATCTTGCCTTCCAGCTCTTTAGAGGCATCTGAGGCAGGGAGATGGCACCTATCTGATGTGAAGCTTTGTTAGGAGGCGGGCCTCTATGTGAGCCCTGGCCCTGCTGATGGCAAGGACCTGTCACAGGCCCCGGTGACTGACAGAGCTCGTCAGGGAGGGGTGCAGTGCACCCATCTGCACAGCCAGGCTAATTCTGGCCCCCAAGGGTGCGATGAGCAGCTTCCAGCACAGATCAGGCAGGGACAGCGGTGGGCCTCGAAACTACCCTCACCTGGGGGCAAACCCAGACAGAAAGACAAGGTGAGGGTGGCCCTGAGAGGTCCCCAGGAGCATCCCCTGAGGTGCTAAGGTTAAGCTCTGTGCTTGGGGAAGCCCTCTCTCTCGGTTCCCCTGATGTGAGATGGCATTGTCCCCTCTGGCACTGAGCCCTCTTACAGGCAATTGGGTTTTGTGGGAACAAAAGCTGGGGTCTTTGGCCAGGCTCTGGCCCTGCTTCCCCTGGGCCTCTTCAGCCACCGCCACCTGGTCCTGTCTTTGGTTTGCCCCTTCAGAAGCTCAGGCTCTGGAAAGTTCTGAAAGGGCAGGTAGGTGGGGCTGGAGTTTTCCTCTCAGTCTCTCCACAAAGGCCGCGAATGTGTCTCTAAATGGTACATGGCAATCTGCCTGTCTTTAGTGGCCCCCCCTGAAGTCCTAGACATGAAAAGCTACCAGGGAGGCCTCAGTGCCTTAATGAGGGAATATGAAGGGACCTCTGGTCTGGGCTGGGAATCTGTGGGTGGGGGGGTCCTTCTGCATCCTCCTTCACCCTGCTGCACGCAGTGCTGTCTGCCCTGGAGTGGAAGGCAGTGTGGCCTGGTGGGCAGAGCTGCCCTTCGGGAGCCCGGGTGCCCACAGCCAGGCTCTCAGTGTTCAATGCCCTGTGTGCACATAGGAATAAGAGGGGGTTCACGGCAGGTTGTGGGGATGAAGCAAGGCCCTGAGGGTGGAGTGCTCAGCAATGCGAACTGTCATTGTTGCTGACATCAGCTAAGGGACTGATGTCCAGGCCTCTAAGGACCTACCTGGGTGGTGTGAGAAGCAGGAGACAGAACAGAGCCCTGAGCCCCAGGCTGGGAGAGCCAGCGTGGGGCCACTGGGTTCCCACGGCTCCAACCGCAGGCCTGGGTGCCTAGTCTGAGTTGAACAAGAATCTCCCTGTCCTGATGGCAGCCCCACCTACCCCCAAATCAGATGCTCAGTCAGTGGGGTCCAGGGACTTTTCCTGAACTCTCAGCTGACCTTCCTGAGCCTCCCATGGCCAGAGCTTGTGGGATAGCTATGTCAGGCCGGGAGCCCTTGGCTCTAGCTGCCTTCCACCTCCACCACCTACTGAGGAAGAAAGGGCTTCAGTCCCTGGGAGAACTTCTCGGCAGGACCCCTTGAAGTCTCTAAGAACAGGGTCAGGGCCCGAGTCCAGGGACAGCTTGAGAGTCAGCAGCCTGGAAGCCAGGGCAGGGGCAGCAGGCTCAGAAATGCCCAAGCTGCAATGCTGACAGTGGTAAGATCACCGCTCTCTGCTGGGCCTCCTGGATTTCTGGCCCTCACAGTAATCCTGAGCCTTTATTATTCCCATTGTCCAGAAAAGTTGTGTTTGCAGAGGTCCCCTGGGGGTCTGGACGTCCTGCTGTGGATTCTTGCTCTCCCCCGTGGGCCGTGGAGGGGCACTGTCCTGGGAGTTCTAGTCCTGTGGGTTGGCAGGGAGGAGGAGGGAGAAGGGAGAGAGCTGGTAGGGAGGAGGGGAAAGGGAGCCAGATAAAACACAGGACACCCAGTTAAATTAGAATTTCAGACACACAACAAATACTTTTCCAGTGGAAGTATATGTCCCTATGCAAAATTTGGGACACAATAAAATGTACCCAGTAATGATCTGAATTCAGTTTAACCTGGCAGTCCTGTATTTTCATTTGCTATATCTAGCACCCTTGGGAGGGGAGGGGAGAGAGGGATGGAGGGAACGGGCAAAAGGAAGGGGAAGAGAAAAGAGAGAGAAGAGACCCAAGGACGGGGAGGTTGGCGTGGGCAGAGAGTGACCAGACGCTGCTGACCCTCCCTCTGGGCTGTGTGCAGAATACAAGGAATGCTTCTCCCTGTATGACAAGCAGCAGAGGGGGAAGATAAAAGCCGCCGACCTCATGGTGGCCATGAGGTGCCTGGGGGCCAGCCCGACACCAGGGGAGGTGCAGCGCCACCTGCACACCCACGGGATAGGTGAGTGGTGGGGGAACAACGGGGAGGGGGGAGGGGCCGGCAGGTGGTGCAGACAGTAGAGGTGTGGACAGCTGAGTGTGAGGGGCAGGTGGCAGGGAGGCCTCCTGGGGACCCAGCTGTGGCAGCCCCAGACCAGGAGCACTGCAGCTCACTTGGGCTTTCTGGAATCCTCCTCGCAACCAGTGACATCTCACAGACCTCAGGATCCAGGAATTCTAATAGACTTATCAAACCCAGGCAAAACCGCGCTGACAGTGATCCCAATGTTGTTTTCATAGAAACATTTCCTTTTGTTGAATATTTGCCATGTGCTTAGCTCCCAGAACCCGATAGGCAATCTCCTAACCCCACTTTTTTTTTTTTTTTTTTTGAGAGAGTCTCGCTCTGTTGCCCAGGCTGCAGAGCAACGGTGCGATCTCAGCTCACCACGAATTCTGCCTCCCAGGTTCAAGTGATTCTCCTACCTCAGCCTCCCAAGTAGCTGGGATTACAGGCGCCCACCACCACACCTGGCTAATTTTTGTATTTTTAGTAGAGACGGGGTTTTGCCATGTTGGCCAGGCTGGTCTCGAACTCCTGACCTCAGGTGATCCGCCTCAAAGTGCTGGGGTTACAGGCATGAGCCACTGCGCCCAGCTTGTTTCCTGTATTTTCACCAATGAGAACATATACAGTTTTTCATAATCAGAAACAAGTTTTATGTTTTGTCATGTTTTTTCTAAGAAAATAAGGAGTTGTTTCAGAGGCTGGGGTAGCTGTTTGCATTGGGGGCTGGACACTCAGGAAGGAGGGACTGGCCCAGGGGAAGGGAGGTCCCCTGGGAAGAGCACTTGAACCAGAGCCCACAGGCCGATGTTCAGTCTCAGGCCCCAGCTTCCTCATCTCAGGGGGGTCACTGCCATCTACCAGGGTTACCAGAGGCCCCACTAGAGGATACCTGCAGTGGCGCTGGGAGCCCGCCCTGGGGCAGGCCATGCTGGGCCCAGGTGAGCCTGTGAAGGCTTGCAGCCTGGCGATGGGGTGCTCAGAGGTCTGATACCTGAGATCTCCCAGGTCCAGCTCCAAAGGGGTGGTGGTTTCCTTGATTTCTGTCTCTCCTAAACAAACAGGAAGTAGTAGTGGGGGAAGTTTTGATTTCCTGCAGTGACATCCAGGCCAGGGCTCGTGAAGGAGGGGCTTGGGTGGAGGCTGCAGTGAGGGGAGGCAGGTGAGCAGCCCAGCCTGGGACCGAGGCTTGAGGCCCAAGTGGGGTCACTGACCCATCCGGTAGTTGTGCTGTGGTGGTTGCTAAGGTGGAGCGGATGACACAGGGACCTATTTCCCTGCATTTCAGGGCAGGAGGGAAGCACTAGAAGGGAGTAGAGAAGCCCAGTGCTCCATCTGTGGATGGGACCCTGCACTCTGAACTTTGGGGCGACGATAAGCATTGTCACAGAGGACATTGCTGAAATGAAGAATGTCCAGCCCAGTGAGGGGCCCGTGGTAGGAAGTCGGTGGGAGGGGCTGCATCCTCTTCACTGTGACCACTCCTTGCCACATCCTGCTGCTCCCTGGTCAGGAGCCCTTGAACCTGCTGTGCGGGTCCCACAGGAGGCCAGCTGGCTTCCCAAGAGCCGTTCCCTCTGCTCACTCTGCTGTGTTTGCGGGTTTCCTAGATGGAAATGGAGAGCTGGATTTCTCCACTTTCCTGACCATTATGCACATGCAAATAAAACAAGAGGACCCAAAGAAAGAAATTCTTCTAGCCATGTTGATGGCGGACAAGGAGAAGAAAGGTTACATCATGGCGTCCGACCTGCGGTCAAAACTCATGAGACTGGGGGAGAAGCTCACCCACAAGGAAGGTAACAGCCTGGGGCCTGTTTCCCAACAGTCGGAGGGGATTAGGGGGTTGGGAGGAGGGCACCACCAGGGTTGTGCAGACCACCTCCGCTGCTGCACGCACAGGAGACTGTAAACAGATGCCATGCTAGGTGGGTGCTGGACTGGAGCCAGGGGAAGAACCAGAGGGCCTGGAGGGGTGCAGGGTGAAGGGGCATCCTGGAGGAAACCCAGCTGGGACCCCACAGGGCAGGGCAGCTGGAGCAGACAGTCCAGCCTCCCACTGTGTTCAAGCTCTCACTGTGGGGCTTCATCTAGTGCATAAGACCCCTGGGAGCACAGTGCTGCCTCCTAGTGATAAAGCAGCAGGGGGAGTGAGCAGCTCCCCAGCAGCAGCGCCAGGGGTGAAGGCAGGTCTAGACGTCCCTGCCCCCCCCTCCCATCACAGCATTCTCCCAAGTTGCTGCTGAGGTTGAGTTTCCAAATTGAGGTGTTACTTTGCTCCCTTTCCTCCAGACTCGGGCTGCTCTAAGCTCTTCCAGAAGGGGGCTCCATGGGGAACTTTGCCAGGACGGTTGGAGAACTGCAAAGACAGGTGGGGCTCCTGGTCCCAGAGCCCCATGAAAAGGGGTCTTTGCTTTGCACCTTCCTGCAGCCCAGCGGGCCTTCCTGCCTCAGAGCAGGACAGGCCTGGGGTCTTCTAGGAAAGCCCTTTGTCCACCGTCAAGGGGATCCCCACGCTGGGCCGTGTGCAGCCTTTGTTCTTCCAGCCTGCACACCCTTCTGCCTAACTGGCAGCAGCCAGCCTGCTCTGCCTGAGGCCAGGGCCCCTGACCCCGGAGCCTGGGCTTTCTAGTTAAGCTTCCCTGCTTGCCTGTGGTCGAGACAGGAGAGCTGGGCTTGGCCACAAGTAGGTGCTGAAAAGAGGCTTCAAAATGACAGACTTTCATCTCTGGTCAAATCACAATAAACCACTGCAGGAGTGGTTTGAGGTGGTGGTTGGACTCCTGAGTGTTGGGAGACCTCAGGTGAGTTTCCTAACCCCTCTCTCACCTCACTTCCCTTGCTGGAAATGAGGGTGCAGTAGATGACCCCTCAGGTCACTCCCGGCTACCACTCTACAAATCAGCGTGCACAGATTTTAGCTGACACCACTAAGGCACAGCACAGTTTAAAAATTGCCTGACATGCAAAAATGAGCTGGGCGTGGTGGTGCGCACCTGTAGTCACTACTTGGGAGGCTGAGGCAGGAGGATTGCTTGAACACGGCAGGTGGAGGCTGCAGTGAACTGATCTTGTGTCACTACATTCCAGCCTGGGCAACAGAGCAAGACCTTGTCTTCAAAAATAAATACATATATATATATAAACAGTCACCTGACAGCAGGCTGGGTCTCCGTACCCTGCTTTTCCAGGCTCACCTCTCATGGCTGTTTTCATTTACATGGACAGGGAAGACATGGGCCATCCTTCCCTCCCATGCTCCCCCCAGGACACTGCCCGGCCCTCTAGGCAGCAGGTGGAGTGAGCAGAGGGAGCATGCCTTATTTCTGTGGGCTAATGATCTCCATCTAAAGCAACACCGTGGACTCAGACTACATACATCTCCCATAACCAGCAGAGGAAGGTTTCACAGAAACCATGTGTTCCAGACCAGCAGGGACACCGAGTTTCCTTCCACTTGCCACAGGAGACAGGAAGGATGATACCAGCGGCAGGAATCCTTTTTCTGGATGATTGAAAGACAATGTTCAGTTTAATTAAAAAGCATCCTTGGAACGGCCGGAGAAGGCTGCAGGTGAAGCCTTCTCTTCCTGACGCTGGGACGGGCTGACTTCAGCACTTTGGCTTTTTATGGGTCTTTAAAGTGAGACGGAGTGAGAGGCTTATTCTACTCAGGTGTCCTCAGACTCGGCACCTGGATAAGTCCTGTCTCTTGCCCATGTGGGAAGAGGCTGCAGTGACTGGCCTTGGAGCTGATGTTGTTGGCCTGTCCCCTGGGAGGGTTTTAACCAGCTGGCTGATTGTAGACGCTTCTCCACAGAATGAGATGAGTTACAGTGCCCGCGACATTCTCCCAATACTCAGAACTACTGTCGGCTTAGGCACAAGGCCTGGGTAATTATACTTTTGAGAAGGACGGTCAAGCAGAGAATCGCGGGATTTTTTCTCACTGCCTGGAGTTGTGTGGAGAGCATCCAGACCTGGGAAGCTGACACAGCAGTGAGACTGCTTCTGCAGAAGGATGAGGCTGGGCTGAAGAGCCAGGGTACATTGGCCCCAAGAGGCTGCTGTGGGGAAGACAAGCTGAAACAGCTCTTGCTAATGCCTGGGACAAGCTAGTATTTTACCCCAGGAATCCAGAACCAGAAGAAACAGGCAAATGAACTGATTTTTTTTTTTTTGGAGCGAGGGAGAACAATGGCAGTTTTGTATGCTGTGAGCTCTCCACACAGTTGGATTTATTTTTCTCTCATGATACCCTCATTCCCCAAACACACTTTTTTTTTAGAGGTGATGGTAGCAGACACTGCTTGTCACTAAGTCCTCTCTTGGGGTGGTGAAGAGCACCGGCTTCGGGGGGAAGGCAGGCAAGTGAGGGGCAGGCTGAAGCCTGGGGCTGCGGAGGACGTCCGCTCTGCCTGGAAGCTGAGCTGTGGAAGGTAAAAAACTCCAGGCCAAAGGTTTCTAGAAATCCAGGCACAGGGGTCATATTTTCATGAAAAAAATAAAAATAAAAGCACAGGGTGGCATCAGTGACCGAATCCTTACCAGTACACCTCCCTACTCCCTGCCCCTGCAGAAAGCCTGATGGGCTCAAAATGTTATCAGTGGCTTAGGAGGGCAGGGGTAGGTTGTCCCTTTCTGTTCACTGATTTACTTCCTGGTCTATGGGAGTAGTTAACTGGACACTCAAGAAAGACCTTAGGGGAGCCCCAGTCCCCAAAGAACTCAACTTTTTTATAATGGAGCATTAAAGCCAGACTGAAAAATTAATGTGATTTTTTGCAGTGGATGATCTTTTCAGGGAAGCAGATATCGAGCCTAATGGCAAAGTGAAGTATGATGAATTCATCCACAAGATCACCCTTCCTACACAGGACTACTGACGGAGAACGCAAGTGCCTCCCCTGGACCTGAAAACTTGGCGCGATTCATTTTTAAAAAGAAAACTGTTGGGCCAGGCACGGTGGCTCACTCCTGTAATCCCATCACTTTGGGAGGCCGAGGCGGGTGGATCATGAGGTCAGGAGTTTGAGACCAGCCTGAGCAACATGGTGAAACCCTGTCTCTACTAAACATACAAAAATTGGCCGGACGTGGTGGCGTGTGCCTGTAGTCCCAGCTGCTCCGGACGCTGAGGCAGGAGAATTGCTTTGAACCTGGGAGGCGGAGGTTGCAGTGAGCTGAGATCGCATCACTGCACTCCAGTCTGGGCAAAAGTGAGAGATTCCGTCTTAAAAAAAGTATTCTTTTCATCTGGGGGAGATGGCAAACACAGCAGCAAGATGTTACCCAACTGTAGCAGAGGATAACCAGCAACCATAATAGATGATTTCATCTATGGTAGGAGCAGATCTTTAATAAAGATTTGTATTGATTTTAGTTAACTACCACGAGTCCTGCCCTTTCCAGCATGGAAGGGGCCTGCGGTTTGCAGTCCAGCCTGGAGTCTAGTCCTGGCTCTGCCACTTCCCACTGTGTGACTTTGGGCAAATCATTTCGCCCCTCAAAGCCTCAGGGCCCTCACACAAGCTTGACTCCCACTTCTTACCTCATGGGGCCCATTGAGGAAGGACTGAGCTAATGATTTAAGGGCAATCTACCAAGAGACTTACTGTGTATTTGGGGGCCAGACCCACCTTCCACATTTCCAAGATGAAGCCAGTGCTAGCTGAGAAGCAGCAACGAACAAAAAGCTAAAACCCTTATGACAATTCTTGCAGTGCCACAGGCCCATTTACAAATTCTCATTTCCATCTCAACAGATACAGTGACATAGCTCAGGCTGTTCATTCATCAACAGAGTCCAGAGTGAAAACACATGCTACAATGAGGCAGCATCAGCTGAGGGTGGCAGGAGTGATCTACTTTACACCCCACACCAAAGGGAACCAGATGTGAGCTGCTGCATTCACTGACCTTGCAGGGCTGGAGAAGGGGGGCTTCCAATGCTGTGAGAAATTCGAGCTGTCCCCTGGGCTCTGTTATCAGGCAGCAAGGTTCCAGGATGGTCTGCTCAAGTGGCCCACACTGGTCATAGCCTTAAGCCACTTCCCCAGGACTTATGGAGAGAAATAAAGGGATGTAACAGGCAATGGCCAGGGTCCAATAGTCCTGAAAAACAGTAGTGGGAACACTTAGGCCTTCTGGGAGTCGATATAGCTCTAGTGGCCTTGAGTGAGTTACACAGCCAGAAGGTGCCAGGCTGGTGTTGCCAGAGATTCAGAGGTGCCCATACACTTGTCATCCCTGTGGATCATTTGCAGTGCCAGCAGAGTCCTAAAAAGGGATGGAGTGCCACACCAATAGGGGTGGGGGTACAGGGCTCCAAGGACAAAGATTTTCAACCATCTGATACATACATACATACATTTGTATGCATCAAAAGTGGGTTCTCCGGGCTGTGGCTTTGTCTAGCGGTACCGCAGTGGCTAAAGCAGAAGAAAACCAAATCAAAAAACGTGTGTGTCCTTTGGGAGGTTGTATAAGACACAATCTTTCACTAGGGACTGGGCACAGGGAAACCTGCAAGCAACAAGAATCACAGTGTGAGCACAACTGTCTCAACAATGCTGTGTGGCTTCAGGCCCAAACAAGGCCCCAAGGAAGGAGACTCATCTCCCCAAGTGTAGTTGCAAAGGGAGTAAGTAGGAGCTCCTAGGAGCCACAGAGAAGAGCTTTGTGAAGTGAAGGTGGATGACAGGCAGTAAACGGCCCAAATGCCACCTACATGAGGTTGTGACCATCTATCTGGCTGGGATGCCCAGGTCCGCAGTGCAGGAGCAGTTTTGTGGGGTCTGAGGTTTCTAAGGTTTGGCTGCCTTCTTTAAGAATACAAAAACAGCCGGGCGCGGTGGCTCAAGCCTGTAATCCCAGCACTTTGGGAGGCTGAGGCGGGTGGATCACGAGGTCAAGAGATCGAGACCATCCTGGTCAACATGGTGAAACCCCGTCTCTACTAAAAATACAAAAAATTAGCTGGGCATGGTGGTGCGTGCCTGTAATCCCAGCTACTCAGGAGGCTGAGGCAGGAGAATTGCCTGAACCCAGGAGGCGGAGGTTGCGGTGAGCAGTGCCGGCCTATTGCCCCCCCCGCGGGGAAAATGAGAGAAACCCCCCCTCCCAAAAAAAAAAAAAAAAAAAGAATACAAAAACAGAAATGCACAATTTGTGGGGCCGCTCCCAGGACCATAGCAAGTGAGGGGTCCTGGTGCTTAAACTTCATTACCTCCATGGTAAATCCACCAGAGGTCTGGTGAGACCTTGGTACTCAGAGAGAACTGCTGTCACTTTCCAGCAAAGCTCAAAGGTCCTAGGCCCACACCCCTTTTGAGCTCCAGTCATAGACATTAGAAAGTAAATCCTGCACAGCCAACCTGGACTACCAAAGATTAGATGGGAGGTAGATACCAATGATTTAGATGGGTCAGGAAGAGCAAGTCCTGGCTATAACGAATGAGGGTACATCCTGTCAAAAGTTTATTTCTGTATTTAATCACTGAATGGTCCCAGTATGGTTTTAAAGCAGATTTTATGAATCTCATTTGCCTAACAGGGATCTGAAGTATAGCTTGCCAAAAGCACACAGCTGGTGTGGAATGGCTATTAGAACCTGGGGCTTCTCTTCACTGAGTCCCCGCTCCTAATTAAGGGGATTCAGTGGTCTAGAGTTGAAGATCCTGTGAAGTGTTCTGATTCAAACCTTACCTGAGGAAAAGGCTTTTCCACTACTCCTGTCCTGGTTTCAAGCTCACTCCTGAAATTCCAGTTGGTTTCTCTAGCACCTAGTGTTGTTTACAAAAAGGCCACAGTGCTCTTAGCATTCAAACTGCAGATACAAACAGATTTATACTAAACAGACGCTGTGATTTAGTACAGAGCTAGCCATATTTTAACAAGAAACAGAAATGATGGTTATATATTCATTACTTACCTCAAAGCATGCTGCAAGAAAATTAAGTTACTTGTCGTGCTTTGAAATCTCTGGATGAAAGGTGCTTTGGAAGGACAAACCATTATCACCTGTCTCAGGACTGTCCCCTTGAATACCCAGCAGTGTTATTACAGACGACAAATTAACTGAAGGCTTTTCTTTTATTACATCTAAAGAGCTCTACATAAACAGGTAACATTCAATAGGTAAACAATTTTTTTTCCAATGCATGTAATAAATATTTTCACTTGGTACTTTTATACAAACTGACATTGTCTACTATACATTTTTAAAAGCCATTTTACTGGTTTGGCATGCGGTATGGAAATTCTAAGAGAGAAAGTTTTAAGGCAATGAATCACAGATTTAAGTTCATGGAATTTATGGTAACTTTATCTGTTATATACATTTTCCCCTTTGTTAAGCAATTAACAGCAGCACACTCTGGGACCACCAGCTATTTTCCCTCCCTCCTTCTGAAATCTAAGCTTTGTGTTTAATTAGAAAACAGAATTCAACATATACTGATAAAACAAAATTCTTACTAAAATAATTTCAAATGTGCTTTAAAATGTTCTGAAGATCTTGAAAGTCTTATGTATTTAAAATCGAAATTGTTTTAAAAACAATGCTCTTTCCATATTAGAGTTAGGATATATTTTCATTCCATTTCAGACACTTGACTCAAAGGAAAATCTGCCAATCAATCAGATTTTTCAGAGCTTATGTGAGTCTTTCCTAAGTCAGTAAAGATACAGAATTGTGACAATGTCTAAAAAATTAGTAAAGCAATTTTAATGCTCAAAATAAATTAACCAAGCATGGCATGGTTCTGGTTCGGATTTTTTTTAAAAAGATGTATCCAATAATGCCCACGAAGTAATTAAAAGCCACTTTAACCCTGCTAGTCAAACAGCTATTTTATCAAAGATGTGTGCATACAGATGTATATATATACATAATATATACACACAGAAAGTACTATACAAAAACAAACATATGCATACCTACTATGAACGGCCAAGGCAAGGGGGATGATGGCAACTTGACTAGATTCTGAGAACTGCTATTTGTCCACAGATAGCATGTAAATGTTGGCATGGGTTGGGGAGTGAGGGTGGGTTAAGAAAAAAAGAGACGAAGTGACTATGTGCTTTTCTTTAAAGTTAGGAGTTAAAGACATAGTGCATGACTCTACTAGTAATTAGTAGAGATCATGAAAGTGTGATTGATATTGACCATGAGACCAACAGAGTGACAACTATTACTTAACGCAACATTCTGGAAAGTCAACAACTGATGGAAACAAACTCCTCACAGGGTGGAATGAACTAAAATTAAGACAACTGATTGGTTACCTTCTCCTGTGGAGATATGACCAAAACCCATTGAACAGATGTTTATTTCTCCCTATTACCTGTTCTTCTCTTAGGTTGGTATAATGTGGGACACTGAGGGAAATTAACCCTCTCTACAACTGGGCTGAAGAAAGTACAGGGATATATTTTCAACTGGATCATTCAAACGGTTTGTAATTCAGCATCATACACAAAGTTATTGATCGGAATTTTGAGTCTACTAACGATGACAGATTAAAAAACAGGAAGAAAACTATTCACTTTACCTAAGGCAGCTGAATTAGTCAAAGTGTTTCCTAGTGCAATGAAAACCAGCAAAAACTCCCCACAATTTTAGCAATTTCTACCCCAATCCAAATTTAGACACAAATTATGGTACTATTAGAAATCAGCCTAAATTAATATGACATTTGCTCACTGTAACACCAGATTCATTAAAAAATGTTAACTGTTTCCTGGTTAACTGACAATCTGTTTTGTTTTTGTTTTTTTTTTTTTTAACTGCAAATTGTTTTATGACTATAACTCAGCCATTTGTGTGTGGAATACACATGCGTAGGGGAAGACTATGAAACTCACTTGTTACTCACACACACTTGTTTATAAATACATATATACACACACACATATACATATCAACACCAACTTTTTTTTTTTCAAAATTCAAGTCAACAATTTAGTGGCAGAGAGATGCTATAAAAACATTTTTAGATGCCACACAGTCATG